CTTTCTTAAGATATCTATAATGGACACACTTGTCACTGTACTCTGCCTGTAATTTCCTAAAGTCCTTAGTCTTGGCCTCTAGTTGTTCTTTCAATGGTTTCTGGCCTTTCCTAAGTTGGTACCCCTCATATTTAAGTTCATCATTTTCTCTTTTTAATAAATCGATTTGTTCACGAAGAAACTTAATAGTAGTTTCACAAGATGGAGTACATGAAACGTCATTGACCGGGAGGGATACAGAACTCATTGTTTTAAAAATATGTCATTTGACTTAAAACCTCAAAAGTCAACCTTAAAAGTCAAATTTAAAAAGTCAAACTTGAAAGGTCAAACTTAAACGAGAAAGTCAAAGTTTAAAGTCAAAGGTCAACTTGAAAGTCAAAGTCAAAATTTTAGGTCAAAAGTCAATTTAGAAAGTAAAAAAATAAAAACTAAAATTTTGGGTTGAAAATGGATTTGAAACTTTGAAAAAATTGATTTTTGGGCAAAATATGTTAAAAATGTGAAACTGGGTTCAAATGGGAGTCCTTTTGACTTAAATCGCGAAGGTTTGGAACAAGGTGCTTGCTAGTTCAACTGGTAAGGCGGAGGGGGAAGGAGGCAGGTGACTCGGGTTCGATTCCTGGCAACTCCAAAATGTTTTTTTAATAGACGCAGATGCGAGGATGCTGCGCCGGAAACTCCTGCTGACCGGGAATGAGGACCGTGAACGCGAGGCGAGAACCGTGAACTCCGAGGGCCGTTAACTCCTGAGCCGTAAACGTCCGAGAAACCCTAGCCGTAAACTGATTACGGCCGCCGCCGAGAAACCCTAGCCGCAAACGCTTCTTCGACCATGAACCCTCCTTCGGCCGTGAACCCTTCAATGGCCGTGAACACTTTGCAGATTACGTGAAAAACAATGTTTTTCACCTCTTTTTGCTCCAAAAATCGATCAAAAACTCGTTTTTATCAAAAACTCGTTTTTATCAAAAACTCGTTTTTATCAAAAACACGAAGAACAAACCCCCCCTAATTTTCAAAGATCTATCCAAAAACGCAAAAATCCTTCAAAAATAAGATCAAATACGCTCTAGATCTTGCTAAAATGATTGATACAATCCAAGCTCTGATACCACTTGTAAGTCCCAAATCTGCTTGGGTATCAATCAGATCAGTTTGATGGTGCGGAATTCCAATCAAACGGATGATGCCAGATCAAATGAAGAAGAAAGAGAAGAAGAATAATATGAATCTATGATGTATTCAAGATTGGAATGATGAACAATACACAAGATTCACACACACTTGCACCTACTCTCATTTCTCTCTCTAGAACACCTTAGAATACACACACTTAAGCTCCTCTAGCCGTACACTCCTCACCCACCTAACATCTATTTATATGGAACATGGGCCGTGAACAGGTTCACGGCCGTTAACCAGTTCACGGCCGTAAACACCACCTGGGCCGTGAACAGTTTTCGGTCCTAGACGGAAAATTACAATTGCCTAGAAAAGCAAAGTATAAACCATATTTTTTATCCAACAAGTTTGTAACCCGAAATTTTTTACATCTTATTCGAAGCTTATGGTTAATTTGCTTCTCATGATATAACTAATGCATAATTATGCATAACATTATGCTTTGAATGTAAAAAAACTTTTATTTATATAAAAATGTGGTTTTTAAATGAAAAGAGTGTATTTTTACGGTTTCAAATGAAAAATGGTCAACATTAAAAAAATTGGGAAAAATGATGTTCGATTTTGAACATAAAAATAGAGTGTCAAAATTGAAAAAAAAATTAAACTTAGTATCAAAATAAAAAAAAGTGAAAACTTAGTGTCTTTTGTTGAAAAAAAATCAATTTTGACACGTCAACATGTCACGTCATCATGCCACGTTAGTAGGTAGCCTGGTCGACCGATCAAGTGGTTAGAATTATAAAAAATTGGAAAATACAGTGTCAAATTTGAGACAAAAAACATAGAGTGAAATTAGAATTTTCGTGTAAACTTGGTATCTTTTGTACACGTTTGTAGTTAGGGGTGAACATTTGGATCGAACCGTATCGGATTGGCTCTTGGATCGGACCGGTTTGGCAAAAATTCGTGGACCTTGGATTGGACTGGCCAAGGTCATGGTTTTCTTGTTATTGTACCTGTTTGACAGGTACAACTTTAGGTGCTTATGATACAACTCGTTGAAGCTCTCACAAAAGTTAGTTTATCTATAATGATTGTAGGAGTGAGTATTGACTTAAAACTAATTGATCTCACATCGTTTCATAATAGAAATAAACCCAATAGATAATAGAAATAAACCCAATAGATATTCCAAATAGGGATGTCCGGGGGACGGTTCGGATCGGATAGTAATAAAATTATGAACCGTGACAGTGGGGCAGGTACTTTGCATGTACTAACCGAAACCTAACTGAATTGCGAAGAAAACCGAACCGATCGAACCGTATGAAGGCGGGTAACCGCGGTTCGGTTCACAGATATTCGTTAAATACAAATAAAAAAAAAAATGAAAACTACAAACTCCATTTCAACCTTATTTTTGAAAATCAAAAACTCACAAAAGTCTAGAAAAAAAAATCAATTCCTGCCGATAAAAACACACTTTATGGATTATGATAAAACATACGGTGCGATCGCAATCTCTCCTGTGTGTGTGTGTGTACATATATATATATATATATATATATATATATATATATATATATATATATATATA